TCAAGTGGACAGAGGACTGTCAACGAGCATTTGATTCGCTAAAGGAACAGTTGACAACCGTCCCACTGCTGACGTACCCAGACCTCAGCAAGCCCATGATATTATACACGGATGCCAGTGAGCAGTGTGTAGGGGGCAGTACTTACCCAGCCGTGTCCTGATAAGGAAGGACCAGTGCCAGGCATACCAGAGGAAGTACCGATATACTTCCTCTCCCATAAGCTCTCAGAGACACAACAGAGGTGGCCAGTAATAGAGAGGGAAGCATATGCCATCATGTATGCTCTCCAAAAACTGGACTACTATTTGAATGGTGCGGTCTTTACTATAAAAACAGACCACAAACCTCTGCAGTACCTATTGCAGGCAGAGTGGACAAATAATAAGAAAAATTCAACAGTGGGCACTTAAGTTAAGTGGCTACCACTCTAAGATAGAGTTCTTTGGCAGGAAAGGAAAACACGTGCAGATTTGCTCTCAAGAATACCGAATCTGGAAGAAAGATCTGTAAGGGTGGAACAGGGAGTAGATGATAAAGCCTATAGAATAGGAGTAATTAACTCTAATAAGCTAAAAGATCGCCCTATGTTAGAATCGGACGAAGAAGGGGACGCCCAGATAATAACCGATCCCTACTGGACAGAAGGAATTGAGAAGGAGCAAGCAGACAGTGAAATAGCTGCTCTGAGAGAGAAGGTGAAGGCAGGAGAGACCACCAAGTATGCCATAATAGAGGAAAGGCTGTATTATCTCTCAGGCAAGGATGAAGAAGTCAAGCCCAAGTTGTATGTGCCCAGAAGTTTAAGACCAGAGATATTGAGCAGCGCCACGAGAGGTTGGGTCACATGGGAATTGATAGGACATGTGATCTCATAGGAAGAAAGTACTATTGGCCCAAACTGTTTCACTATGTTCGGAGTTGTGTAGTGTGCCAGTCGCAGAGCAGAAAGCAGGAAATGGCACCCTTGGAGGAAACAGACGTACCAAACTTCCCCTTCGAGAAGGTGAGTATGGATGTATCAGGACCATATGGGGAAACTGCACAAGGAAACAACTATATAGTGAGTTTTGTCGATTGGCTAACAAATTGGCCTGAAGCATTTGCAGAATGTGATGATAATAAGTGAAATCTTCCCTAGGTATGGTGCCCCTGTGCAATTGGTAACAGATAATGGCACGGAGAATGTGAGCAGCATCATGAGAGAAGTTCTGACAGGTTTGAATGTAGAGTACATAAAAAATCTCCATATCACCCCAAGGAAATGCTAAAGGGAAAGGTTTCATAGAATCTTGGGAGATGTATTGGCCAAGCTGGTCAGAGAAAACACTAGAAATTGGGACTTGTATTTGACGCAGGCTCTGGCAGCCGTGAGGTTTACGATAAACGAAACCTCCAGATTTTCTCCTTACTTTTGTTGTATGGCAGAGACGTGGTCCTGCCTGTGGATAACCTATGAAGCCCTGAAGAAGGTATATGAGAAGATCATCATCAACTATTGCTGGAACAGCAACATAAGATATTTGTACAGGCCAGAAGAAGAATAAAGTAGAAGAAAAGAAATGAGAGGGTGAATGCTGAAAGAAAGGTGGTAGAATTGAAGGTTGGAGACCCTGTCTATATAAAAATCCACCAGAGAGAAGGAAAACTGACCAGAGATGGGAACTGTACTACCGGATAGTAGAGCAGGCGGGCCCAGTATCATATGCCTGGGATCAAGTGGCAGGACGAGCGAGGAGGGTTCATGCCAATGATCTGAAGAAGGCTGAAATAGCTAACCTGGAAATGAGCGAGCCGAGGCCTAAGAAGACAAGGAAAAGGAAGGTAACTCTGGTTGAACCGGAAGAAATGGAGACGAAAGAAGACTCGAGGAAGATGAGGAGATAATCGACTTGGCCAGATAAACGAAGTAGTCCGAGTGACAGAGTTGGAACCCTCAGCGGGGATTAGCGATGTTCAGTCGTCGACTGAATCGGTGCAGAGAAGACCCCGTGAGGTCGCCATCACACCCCATGTCCGAAGAAAAGGAAGAAAAAGACGAGGAGGTCCAATCAAGCAGTCGAAGGCTCTAAAAAGAGGCACCCTGAACAGGACGAAGGGCTCAGTGAGTGGGAGGAGGAGGATCAGATACCCTTTCCCAGCTCAAGGAAAAGGATAAGGAACAGGAGAAATTTAGACCTAGAGTCGAGAGGTATTGAAGACATTCAAGGCGAAGGCTCTAAACAGAAAGAAGAATCAGGGGATGAAGAAGAGGACAAAGAACCTCCTGGACGGAAGTTAAACACAGAAAGAAGGTTTAGGTTGAGCAGGAATCACCTCAGATGAGATCAGGAGGAGAAGAACCCCAAATCTCAGTAGAACAAGGGGGCTGTGAAAAAATAGAAGCATTTAGTGTCGACAGATAGCGACACTGGCTCATCCAAAACCTACTGGCTGACTATGGTGGATGTGAGTGGAGGGATGGAGTCCTGCACCTCTCAAGGGACGAAAGAAGATTATTGGCATTATTTGATTGACCATCAGTGATGTCATGAAGTACGACCTTAGAGTGAGCGCCGCGCACACCTGACCAGACCATTCTGTCTGCTAGAGGTTAGTTAGAGGAGGGAAGAGCTGAACTTAGTAAGAAGTTATGAAATAATTGAGTAAAGAATTGTGGAAGAACTATAATGCACTAGGATGTGTGACCTTGTTAGAAAATAGGCGATTATTGGTTGTGATATCTGTTCCGTTGTTAGATAGCGAGAGTATTCGAGATATACCAGAAAGAAGAAAAGATTCACTCATAGAGATGATTGGTAGAGGCTTAGTCAATTGTACAGAATTATGGGAGCCGATAGTGAAGAGATTCTCTAATGTTACCTTAAATAAGATGCCAGTATTAATGAAGCCAATAGAAAAGATCGATATGGATCAATTAAGAGATAAGTTAAGTGCGTTGGGAAACGAAGGTGTGGCTTTGGGAAGACAATGAGCAGATCGCGATAAGTTGGTCAATAGTAATGGGTACATTCCTAGTTATAACCATCGGGGGTGTATTAATATGGAAGGTTAGGAGTAAGAGAAGATTAGCGAACGACAATCTAGTGAGCATGCAGCAACTCGAGAGGAGATGCCGAGCAGTGTTCCTTACTCAGACAGGACTGGCGAAGAAATTGCTGAAAAGACCAACGGAGGAGGCTGGCGTGAGACCACCACGTGCGGCGGAAAAACCTCCCACAGCGGAGAGGAAAACATTGACCAAGAAGAACAAACCATAGTAGACACATCTGCGCCCACAGACACACGCACATATTACTTTTGCATGTAAAACAAAAAAAAAAAAAAAAAAATGAAGGAGGAGGCTGGCGTGACCACCACGTGCAGCGGAAAAACCTCCCACAGCGGAGAGGAAAACATTGACCAAGAAGAACAAACCATAGTAGACACATCTGCGCCCACAGACACACGCACATATTACTTTTGCATGTAAAACAAAAAAAAAAAAAGAAAAGAACATTACCCTTGCATGTAGAACAAAAGAAGATGAAAAGAACATTACCCTTGCATGTAGAACAAAAGAAGATGAAAAGAACATTACCATTGCATGTAGAACAAAAGAAGATGAAAAGGACATTACATTGCATGAAAAGAACATTACCCTTGCATGTAAGAAAGTAGAATAGAATTGCATGAGACAAATGCATGGTGCATGTTAAATGATGTAATTATTTTAGGTGTCATTTACGGGTAAATGACAAATCGGTTAGGGAGGATTGTGGCACCCTGCATTATTAGAAAAACTAAAAAGAAATATTCATAGAAATATGATTTAATTTTTATTCGGTTTATTAACCAGTTGTTAGTTATTTAGACGAAGAATAATTGAGTTTTGAGAATAATTCTCTAATTGTATTTAGGCGATCCTAAGGGAAGAAAAAGAAGAAGAAAAAAAAAAAAAAGAAAAAGGAAAAGAAAGAAAGAAAAGAGAGGGAGAGATGGGTAATGCAAAAAGCCGGTCATTAGCGAAAACAGGTGTCAAGAGATATCTAGGCCAACGCGCCTGACCGAATTTCAAAAACAATGGAAATTGTTATTTGGAAGAATAGAATTAAAGGTAATTAAAAGAAAGAAAGAAAACAGACTTGGTAAAAGTGTATGAACATACGTACGATTGATAAAAATATCGGTCAAAACATCTGGCCTACTTTTGTGTAGAAGCTCATTATCAATTTGAAGAAATGATTTTAGAACAATGGAAAACGAAATATTAATCGGAGAAGGGTGTCTTTGGAATGAGAAGGTGACCGCTGGAATTGTATACAGATCCTGACCTGTTGAAGATTAGAACCCCAACGATGAGGAAGTGAAGATATATTCAATTCAGATAATTAAGATTTTGACTATCAGGTCTGAGCAAAAACAAAGAGGTAAAAACTATTGTTTTGGCTCACAGAAAGCGCCAGCGAGACGAGAAAAATTCTTCCTGAAGTCATATCTAATTAGCGGCGAGCTGTTTTGACAAAAGCCAAAAAGGTGAGAAAGGCCGAGATTGCCATTTTCGTTCGTGCGAAAAAGGCCAAATTGGATTTTGTTTTTTTAGCAAGGTGTCTCTTTCCTAGAACAAAGCCGGGATAGACCACGCCCGATTGGAGACGTCACGAAGGACGGGAGACGCCCAACCAGAATCTCATTAGCCGAAAGCGGTCACGTGATATGCGAGAAAGAGGAGAAAGGACGCTCGACCAAGACCCATTGGTCGAAAACGGTCACCTACATACGAGAGACCGGGAGAGATGGTATGCGCCTCCCACCCAGAGGCACTATGAGGAAGTAGGGGTGAAAATAAGAGCGATAATTGGAAATCAGAAATAATGCGACTTTTGGAATTATCAAGAAAACCCTGACGCCGACAGACCCACCCCAGTTTGTTGCGGCGTCAATAAAAGCAGAACCCCAACCGACAGAAATCAGAGAGTTGCGGGGTAGACGGCCAGAGCAGTTGGAGAGCGGACGGCGGGACCTGTTCATTCGCCCCTTGTATGTTTGGCCCGGACAGGCAGAGAAGTTGCAGCCAAGTCGAAGAGAAGAAAGCCGCAGAGAAGTTGGAGCAGAATTGCAGGCCAGACAGACCGAAGAATTGCAGGCCAGATAGGCAGAAGAGCTGCAGGCCAGACAGGCAGTAAAGTTGCAGGCCAAACAAGCAGTTGAGTTCAGCCCCTCACCTCAGACGGCAGAGAAAGAGTTCGGACCTTGGCGAGAAGAGTTGCAGGACGGAAGAAGAAGAAGTTACTTGCAGTTGCGTCTAGAAGAAGTTGAAACCAGGCCAAGCCTGAGGGTGGAAATTCGTCCAACCCAAATCGAAGTGAAGAAATACGTCCAACTCAAGCCGAAGGAATAAGCTCGTCCAACTCAAGCCGAAGAGAAGAATCAGCCGTGAACGACTGGTAGAGATTAGCGCCAGTGTCGAAAACCAAACCACACTCCGACATACAAAATTCTAGAGAGAGGCAACTCGAAGTCTTTAAGTTGTATGATAGAAGCTTGGTGCCACAGTCCACAAAGCGGGTCGGGGAAGTAAGAATAATTTTTATGTAACGAACATTAGATATAAAAAGGTTGTTACCCTTTTTTATCAGTAATTTTTGGCCTCGTGAGTTTTTCTTTTACTTTGTGTATTGCCACCCCATCGAACTCAGCTGGCATACGGCCCCAATCCCTGTTTGATCCCGTCTGTCTAAGATCTAATCACAACGTGGGTAGGCAGACCGGAGATCAGTACAGTTACCCTAGTAACCAGGTGTTGGAAGCGAGTTGGGGAACGGCGAGGCTGGTAATCATCTAACCAAAGGGTTGAACGTCACACTTGGAGCAGCGAGGGCGAACAGCTGACGCCGCGGCAAAAACGTCACGTCACAGTTGGAGCCGCGAACGAGATCGAACGACAAAGTCGACGCTGCGACCAGGAGGAGCGACGTCACATATGGCGCCGTGACCAAAGGATTCGACCCTGGACCAAGTGACGTCACAATGATACTTTCATATAATCTATAAATATTTACCAAATTAAATGCTGATAGGCATAAATAGAAACGGCTATTATTTACTTAATGCCAAACTAAGTACATGATTACAGACTGGACTACAATTATCTCCGAAAAAAAGAAAATGCTTTCAGATCAAAATATAATCGAACAATATTCACCTCTCCACAAACAAAGTGTATCCTTTCAGATCCAGTTCTAAACTAGTAATATCTAAATTTACACAATTTACATGTGAACAATTGTCTACATGCTTGTTGTTGAGTACAAAGATGAGGACAATAGTCCACATGATAATAGTTGTTAATAATGATAACCCATAATCCCAGAATTCCAGACAGAAAATGATCAATATTTATCTCCGAATCAAGGAAATGCTTAGAGATTCATATATAAACGGGCAATATTTACTTATTCCAGAATCTGATATATATATATATATATATATATATACAGAGAGAGAGAGAGAGAGAGAGGGGGGAGATATACATGAAAAATATGTTGCTTATTCTACAGGGTAATGATTTGGAAAATGTAGTCGAAGCCACTAAAGTAATAGGAAGCCAGTCGACCCTTCCTCCCATTCTTCTGTCATTCGTGTGTCCGTGTATTCGCTTAGGCCACCAAAATGCGGGTGCATTTCTTATGTCTGACGTCTGTTCTCCACTCGAAAAAAATAACCAACAAGCGAAAGGCTTGCTGTCTTTATATAGGAAAATATTTTCCGATAACAATGATTAACGACTTCACTTTACCTAGCCAGGCCGCAGAAAATAACAATTCACAATACCCAATTTCATTATCTACATATTCCTGTAAATTTACCAGCCGAAACAGACTATGTAAACAAACGCTCAGTCTTAGGGATTAACACAAAACAGATGTCTTGTTTTTGTTTCTAAAATAATTTAGATCATTATTTTCTGTGATCACACATTTTTTTTTTTTTTGCAAATATCGCTGTTTAAACAAACTTCCGAATTCTAGTTAGTCCAGCCAGTGAAGAGAATTACTCATCATCTGATAAATACACAGAGACTTAATGTACATGACAAATATTTTTGCTTATTTTGAATCTGATATATCTTGAATACGTGTAAGCAGAACGTGATTCTTGAGCGCGTTTTCGTATGTGTACATGTATGTGTATATGCCTCGGTGAGAGAAACAAATCGTTACTTACCACTTCAAGCCGAGCAATGTTTCTGATCAGAAAGAAATTGTGTATGCGTTTGCTTCCTTTTTTTATGGAAGAGCGCACATTGCTGGAGAACCGGAAGTTATCCGGGAGCGGGCTATAAATTGCCAAGGTGAGTTGCTGGTTATAATTATAAAGATAGAAAAAAACTGTGGCTATCGGAAGGTACACAAGTCGCTACCTCATCAGTATTGCCTGGGTCACATTGGAGAGGTGGTATGATGTTGAAAGACCCGAAACCGCTAATGAACCTCGGCTAGAAACATCACGGATAATAATAAAGCATCCAATAGATCGATTTTACGAAATAGACAGAAATATAAGTAACCTCTCCCTGTAACAAATAATTTTTTACAGACTCAAATATAAACGACTAATATTTATCTATCATGGAGAAACAAAATGCTTATAGTCGCAAATATAGAGGACCAATATTTACCTTTCTCCGAACTGTTAAAATATTAAAAAAAAAAAAAAACTGTAGCCCACTGACTATGACAACCCTTTATCGTTGAAACGTCAAGCAACACATATATCACTTCTCAACTCAAACACCTCACTCCCCGGTTCCGAGTTTCTTCTAAGTGAATAAATATAAACTCAAATATAAACAATAAACATTTATCTATCCCTGTACCAAAGAAATGTCTATAGATTCAAATATGGACGACTGATATTTACCTATAACCGGACCAAAAAAAAAAATGCTTATAGGCACAAATATAGATGACAGATTTTTACCTATTATTGAAGCAAATCAATCTATATAGGTTCAACCATGAACGACTAATACCTACATATTCCTGAAGCAAGTAAATACTTATCAAATAAATTAAGCTCTTTCATGGGATGCTTGGACCAAACTTCAGATATGGCACTCGAACCTTCCATCCTCCTTAAAATCCAAAACTTTCAGACATTTATTGAACCAGTCCTACTGTATGGATCAGAAACTATGACATTATCTGCTCATCTTAAAAGATGACTGGATAGAACAAATCTACTGAGAAAAATCCAGAACATTTGTTGAAGATCCCATGCAGCGTTTAACACAATTTACAGAGAAATGAGACCAACCCCTCTTAAGCTCAAACAAAGAATCCAGTTTGCCGGCCACTGTCACCGATCGAACAGGGAAATCGTTTCCTAGGTATTTAATCTGTCTCCCCACTTGTGACACTGTTATATTGGAATATACCTATTCTATTGTTAATAGACTCTCCCACATATAATAAGTAGTAGTAGTAGCAGTCGCCAGTGAGCTCAGTGAGTTGGTCGAGTCAGTCGATGTCGGACATTAAAGTATCAAACACCACAACTAGATTGCTGCGTCATTAACTATTATTTCAAGTTCCTAACGTTTTTACGTCGAATCTCTTTTAGGACCGACTTAGTGAAATACAAGCCTCCACTGTGGAACCACTCTATAACAATTTGGTGACGAGGAATTCGGATTCATACGGAGGAAGAAAAAGTTTTTCGTACCCTATAACAGACACTGAGTCTTTTTTAAGGTGGGGACCCGAGCGTGTACATCCGGGCCAGGAACAAAAATTGCCCTCAGCCCCAGCAACCGTCAGTTGCGCTGGCCTCGGTGCGAGCACTGATCCCTCTCTCTGGTACAATGGGAGGGCGCGGCCTCGGGCAGTTCTTCCCCACGGTTGGGCACCTCTCGGTATAATTTTTCTCAGTTGGCATCCTTCTGGAAGTTTCTTCTCACGAAAATTGACTTTCCCAGACACCATGGCTCGGGATTCAGTTGGACGTTGGGAATCTGGGGACAGCAATACAGGACCGAAAAGTGTGGAAAGAAATTGTCAATGGAGCTCCGACCAACCATAGGAAGGACGAAGGATGATGATGCTGATGATGAAATAATAGATGATGATGATGATGAAATCGACTCAATATTAACAACTAATATTTACGCCTTTCCACACTAAATAAATGCTTATAAACTTAAATATAATTCTGAGAAAATATATTTCGACATGAGATGTTCTTTAAGTGTTAACATCACATGAATCAACCAATCCATTCCCAAACCCTATATTCGGACATCTTTTAATAAACTGAATTATTCCATTCCTTTTTACCTTTTCATTATGATCAAAATGGACAAGCTTCTTTTGTTCATTTTTTAGTCTTCCATCCAAATTAAAAATCATTCATTATGTGAATTCTGTAACTTTCGGAATAAATGATAACTCAAATATTTAATAGTTGTTGAATACGGCGAGCAGAGGGAAAAATCCCAAAGTAAACTAATAACCTTGGCCTCGACAATCGAAATTTTCATGCATGCCTCTTTTCTTTTTCAACGAAGGGAAAATTATTTTTCGTTATGAAAATTTCACAGTCGCGTTCAAAAATTGCAATATTTACATATTTTTTTCCATTATGCTTCTGCTTTGTCTATTGGCCTCATAATATACAATTATTATTATTATTATTATAAAAATTCTTTTTGACTTTTATTTGTTTTATAATCATATTTAGGGTCATAACCTTTGACCTAAGGCAAGGAAAAGAGGTGATTTTTGCTTGATTCCTCTAAAATAAAAACAACTGTTAACAAAAACAAACTTAAATGGATAAAAATCTTTGCAGGCTGTGCTTGTTAGAAAAACTTATTCCCTAAAGATATGGTACACTAGGGTTTTATTGATTTATTGTTGATTTCCTTTCTTGATCAGACCCAGAACTCCAACCATAATAGTTTTAGGTTTTTTAATGACACAATTATTCTATTTCCTTTTTCAGGTCCTTGCATTTGCTTAGTTTAAAAATAGCTGAAATGAACAAAGCTCTTCCATGGGCTGCGCTCGTTAGATATATTTACTGGATTTCCTGGAGAGGTCGTGTACCAGAGATGTTATTGATTTCTACTTGATTTCCTTTTCTTTTTTTTTTTTTTTTTTTTTTTTTTTTTTTTTGTCAGACGCAAAGCCGCAGCCACAAAAGGAACATTTCTTTCAAATTCCAGGACTTTGAATTTATTTCGTTTTTCAAAAACCTATGTTTTTGTCATTTGGTACGCTCATCTCAATCAGTGCACAAACTTTTTTCTTTTCTGTCTTTGATAATAATGTTTAGGCGATTTGCTTGTATTGTTTGATTCATTTTGATAGAAAATTTCCAGAGAATAACATATAATATCTGCTTCTTCAACAACAGATTCAGGACTATGTTCATACCAGTTTGCAGCTGATTTATTATTATTATTATTATTATTATTATTATTTATCTCGTAGTGATGACAGATTTTCCAATGCAGATAGTGACCTACCCTGTCATGATGGTTTTTGTATTCATTGGATGAGAGTATTTGTCATCCTGAAATAAGGTGATCAATAGTTTCGATATATTGGTCACAGAACCTACATTTCGCGTCCATATTATTATGAAAAATGTTAGCTAGTGTTATAACCTATACAGGTTTACTGAGGAATAACCAAAACGGAGATTGGAAATGAATTTGTAATCTTTATAACATCAACAAAATACAATACTCGCCAGCGGCGTAAAGTAGGTAAACCACTGCTAGTAGTGAACTATTTAGATATCATATTACCCTCACTTACAATAGTGTCTAACGTATTTATTAGTATTGGCACATACCTATTAGTGTTCATAGTTACGATAGATAGATAGATAGATAGATAGATAGATAGATATGGACACACTGAGATAGATATATAGATCGATATAAAAAATGGAAATAGTTACGAAAAGAAAATCAGAGAGATAGTGTTGTAAACTAGAACGGGTTACTGAATGAGGAATAATCAAAACGGAGGTTGGAAATGAAATGGTAATCTTTATAACATCAACAAAATACAATACTCGCCAGCGACGTGAAGTAGATAAACCACTTCTTGTGGTGGACTACTTAGATAGCGTATTACCCTCACTTACAATAGTGTCTAACGTATTTATTAGTATTGGAACATACCCATTAGTGTTCATAGTTACGATAGATAGATAGATAGATAGATAGATAGATAGATAGATATGGACACACTGAGATAGATATATAGATAGATATAAAAAATGGAAATAGTTACGAAAAGAAAATCAGATAGTGTTGTAAACTATAAAGGATTACTGAATGAGAAATAAACAAAACGGAGGTTGGAAATGAAATGGTATTCTTTATAGCATCAACAAAATACAATACTCTCCAGCGACGTGAAGTAGGTAAACCACTGCTAGTGGACAGCATATTACGATATTTACCTGCAGTCCATGCAGTCGATCCCTGACAAAGGGTGTTTGTACGTATCTAAATACGATTCCCTAGATTCTAACTACTCACCTCTTGAACTGACATCAGCATTCACCATCTTAAAAAGGAGACCTTCCAGAAGAGATGCAGAGGATTCCGAAGTCATCTGGAGGCCGTGGTTGAAGCCAATGGCGATTTTATTGAATAAATTTACTCTTTAGTATTTCAAGATATTTTTGTGTAATTTTGGTAAATATATCTGTTAAAGTGAGATGTGAGTATTATTTTAATTTTTGCGTAATTTACTTGACACTTTATCCATCTCACCCTGTATATATTAATAAGAACGTTATTTTAATCGGATGAAGACATTTTGAATGACTAAACGCGTTACATAGATATTTTTCCATTTTGTTTTTGTTAACTACCATTTATATTGAATTATTTTTTAAGATCCAATGCCATAATACAATATAGAATTATAACGGGCAATAATTTAAAATTCTCAGAAACAGACGATTCAGCAATTATTCTCTTTTAAGAATTTGGAATTATTGTTGGTTAAATACGATTGTCCTCTGAAATTTGATTGGTTGGGTGGTTGATTTTGTTAGCGGCATATCAACACCTTTATGGGTTATTTAATGCCAAAATCAAAAAAATTGAACAGGATTTTATGGCTTCAACTAAATATATTTTGAACGCGATTGCATGCCTTTCAACTACTGATAAAATGTATTGATCATTTTGCGATGAAATATGATGTTGGTAATTCTACGATAAAATGTATTACTAGTCATTTTGCTTTACGCTTAGGGCACCTCGAGGCGGTGTAATGGTTAACAAGCTTATCTCGCTAGAACAATTACAACTGAGTAGTGAGTTCGATCCTCACTGGGTGCCGTTTACTTACGGTCTTGTGCCACATCTAAGCTACGCTTGGAAAATCAATTTGCGCTTGCTTTGCAGCCAGCATCAAGACGTCGAGCTCTCTGCTGAAGGGCAAAGTCTCGTCTGGGGAGGTTGACAAAACCGACCGCGGCTCTACGTGGAATTTTTGCTCTAGCCTAAGGGCTCGGATTTTCCCCACATAAAAATTGGCCTTGTACCGTATCCTGACTCCTGGGGAGGCCAGGTAAATACCACTTTAAAATATATTGCTGTTTATTTTGCTATAAATAAGTATTGTTAGTAATTTTACTATTAATACTTTTTTTATTTGTTTAACAGCATATCAACTCCTTATGGATCATTAAATGCCGAAATTAAATTTTCTTGGGCGCATTAGTAATTTTTTTTATCAAAGAATAGTATTACTTGTAACTTTTTTTTTTTTCAAAAATGTATTGCTGTTAAGTTTTTTTAACTATGAAAATGTATTGCTACTATTTTTACTATAAAAATGTATTTTTATACTTTCAAAGTGTTTTGACAAGAAAAAAGAATGCAAGGTCATTAGTAAAAGGATGAGCCCCAAATGAGATTTGCAGGTCGGGAACACTAGAATCAAGCAGACTCGGAAGTTTAAATATCCGTATACGTTTTGGGATGGCCAAGGACGCATTGTAAGAGCTGGGCAGAGTATCGCAAGACAGGAGGATTTCTTTGGTAACAAAGAACAGAATACTGAGATGTTACATGACATCTGTTCTTCAGCGAATGTTGGACGATTTCCTCAAAGATGAAGAAGAGACTCGAGGCGACAAAGATGTGTTTCTGCAGAAACATGCTAAGGATACCATAGACCAAGCGTGTGAGCAACGATGAGGTCTTAGAGAGGATGTAAACAAGAAGAAGGCTTATACTTAACATCAGGAAGAAGCAGCTAAGTTCCTTGGACGACGAAGGAGGGTCTGGAGAATCTGATACTCAAAGGTAGAATAGAGGGAAAGAGAGACAAGGGAAAACAACGCATGATATACCTAACGACTTTAAGCAAGTGGCGTGTTGTGGTGGAGGTAATAGAGGGAAGGAACTTGTTGAGATCTGCAAGGGGTAGACGGAGGTGGAGATCCATGATCGCCTACGTCCTGAAAGGACATGGCACATACAAAGAACGTGTTTTGACCTCAGTTTGGGGGTTCACAATTTGCCCATAGTTGAGACCGTAATTGGTGCTACCACCTCGGGTTAATGTGGGCCTGGGAACAACAGCAATTAAAAGGTCGTCCCACGCTTCTCAAAACCTCCCGATCAGAGGCCTTGCTGCTGGATGTAGTTTATCGTCTTACCCAGGACGAATAGCTATTAATGGTATTTTTACTATAAAAATCTATTTTCATACTTCCATAGTGTTTTCTCTTTGTTTACGTCTTTCAATTTTTGCCCATAGCTGTGACCCTAACAGGTGCTAACACTCCGGGTCAGAGTGGACCTCAGAGCAACAACAATTAAGAGTTGGGTCCATGCTCCCCAAAACCTCAAATCTCCTGATCTGTGGCTGTGGCTTTTGAACTTTGATTAAATCAATGTAAATCTTTGGCAGAATGTATAGTTCTATGCAAAAGCCCATCATGTGAACTGCAACTATCAGTGACCTAAATCAAGCAAGTACTAGAATTTAAATATCTCCGAAATATTTTACTATTGATAATCATACTTATTATAAAACCCAGGTTGTGTGTGTGTGTGTGTGTGTGTGTGTGTGTGTGTCTGTTCGTTTATATTTTGGATCGGATTTCCTACACTTTTCAACCGATTTCAACAAAACTTCTCAGGACTACGTAAAATTACCTTGCAGTGGTTCTGACAGCGCCAAAAATTGGAAAAACACAATTGTTTTTGCATGAAATCAATTTGAAAACACGATCAAGAGACATCGCTATTGCGAGAATGAAAGGTGGACAACTCATATCTTGTTATACTTATTATAAAACCTTGTGTGTGTGTGTGTGTGTGTGTGTGTGTGTTTATATATGGGATCGGATTTCCTAAATTTTCCAACCGATTTCAACAAAACTTCACTTTTTTTGGCAGATAGTGTTTCTTATTGTCTTGCACGCTTTTTTCTTTATTTTTACATTCAGAATGCTTTAAAAATTCCGTTTACAAGACAATTGTTTATAATAAAATTCTATTCAATCTGTAGACTCATAACGATTGAAAACAATGTTTATGTTTGAGTTTGGGTTTGACCAATTCGTAAAAAAAAAAAGAAAAAAAAGAAAAAAAAAACTAATTAAGACATGCGTGTCCGTCAACCTTAAACAATAATTTTTGTCAATTTTATTTTTCAGTCTTTATGATGGTCGATACTTGATCTATCTCTTACTGTTACATTCCCGGGCAACGCCGGGCACTACTGCTAGTGTGTTATAAATGGAAACCACCTATTCTATAGTTAATAGATTCTCCCACCTATAAAAAGTAGGAGTAGTAAGAATAACGTGGGAGGGAGTCAGTGAGTCGATGTCGGACGACAGTTAGTAGACGGCACCCAGTGAGGATCGAACTCACTACTCAGTTGTAATTGTTCTAGCGAGATAAGCTTGCTAACCATTACACCGCCTCGAGGTGCCCTAAGAGTAAAGCAAAATGACTAGTAATGCATTTTATCGTAGAATTACCACCATCATATTTTATCGCAAAATGATCAATACATTTTATCAGTAGTTGAAAGGCATGCAATTGCGTTCAAAATATAGTTAGTTGAAGCCAGAAATGTTTTGTACGTCGAACCTATTTTAGGACCGACTTAGTACCAATACAAGCCTCCACTGCGAAATAACTCCACAACATAATGTGACACCGAAATTCGTAGATATATCAGAATTAGCGAAAGTTGCTTTCTAAAGGAACATGTTCCTTAAATATAGAGAAAATAGTACTGAACTGTTATGTATTACCAATCATCCTTATATGAGAGGGAATGCTGAACAATCTCCTCACAAATGCAAAATAGACGGGAGGAGATAGAAATGTGTTTCTGCAGAAGGATGTTGAGGATACCATTGACTGAACATGTGAGCAAAGACGAAGTTTTAAGAAAAATGCAACAAAAATTACGCTTCTACTTGGAATCAGAAAGAGACAATTGAAATTTCTAATACATATAATGAGGAAAGAGGGCTTGGAGAATCTGACACTCACAAAACATTATTGATTGATTTGTATTTTTTACTGATTATCAACCTTTTGAAGATTATTTAAAGCTAGAAAATATTTTTAGATTGTAAGAATATTTTTAGAAATGATAATGATTTACTGATACAAGTCTTAATAATTAACCCATAGCTGGTGGGGAGAAAAGGTGAATTCATATCTTTCGCAATGGTATTTACTCGTAAGTGAATATAACGAACCCGGATGGATGAACAATCCCGAAGCGTTATCCATTAACACCATCTTCATATCCATGCTTGCAGCACCTAGCATTCACAAACTGTCACCCATCTAGCTTACGGTTAAGTCACGCTGAAACACCGGTTCTCGTTTGATCACCGAAGTTAAGCATCGTAGAGCCAGGTCAGTACTTAGATGGGACCGCTTGGGAACACCTGGTACTGTAAGCCCCCAAAGTCCAACCCTTACCTCACAGTCGGTGGTGGGGGGGTAAACGGTAGTGTCAGAGCTATGCCGCCCGGAACTTCGTTCTTGGTAGGGACACCCAAGGCGGACAGGTCTGACACACACGCCGGCTAACAAGGGCTCTGGTGAAAATCCAAGGAACGTCTGCATCGGTAACCGGCGTCTTCTGGTCGTTCCTGTCTCTGCGTCTGTGGGAACCCCGCGGCAAGCAAGAACGTTATCCGAGAAGGCCTTGGTACCCTACTTCTGTAATTTATCCCAAGAATCTTCTTCTCATAACAGGAAGAAGCCGGCTCAATCCGCCCAGGGTGAATGCCGCATCAGTACAGTAGTAGTAGTACCCATATAGGTACTGACCAGGCTCCAATTTGCTTTACTTCGGTCATCGAACGTCTTTCAATTTGATAAGTCTTTAAGACACACTCTCTCTCTATATAAGAAAAGAAATAAAGAATCACACATGAGAATTTCTCTAATGATATCTATCTTAGTCCACATTATGTATCTCAGTCTCTACATATCTATCTCAGTCTCTACATTATCTATCTATTAAAGACATTTTTCTGTTTAACATTCTT